ACTTTCTCCTGCCTTCTCCTGGTTTCTCCTATATTCTCCTGGTTTCTCCTGCTTTCTCCTGCTTTCTCCTGTATTCTCCTGCTTTCTCCTGTATTCTCCTGTATTCTCCTGCTTTCTCCTGGTTTCTCCTGGGTTCTCCTGTGTTCTCCTACTTTCTCCTGCTTTCTCCTGTATTCTCCTGTATTCTCCTCCATTCTACTGCTTTCTCCTGCCTTCTCCTGGTTTCTCCTATATTCTCCTGGTTTCTCCTGCTTTCTCCTGGTTTCTCCTGTATTCTCCTACTTTCTCCTGTATTCTCCTGCTTTCTCCTGTGTTCTCCTGCTTTCTCCTGTGTTCTCCTGCTTTCTCCTGTATTCTCCTGCTTTCTCCTGTATTCTCCTGCATTCTCCTGGTTTCTCCTTTGTTCTCCTGTATTCTCCTGCTTTCTCCTGGTTTCTCCTGCTTTCTCCTGGTTTCTCCTGAGTTCTCCTGCCTTCTCCTGCTTTCTCCTGTATTCTCCTGCATTCTCCTGTGTTCTTTTACTTTCTCCTGCCTTCTCCTGGTTTCTCCTGTATTCTCCTGTGTTCTCCTGTATTCCCCTGCTTTCTCCTATATTCTCCTGCTGTCTCCTGTGTTCTCCTGCTTTCTCCTGTATTCTCCTGCATTGTCCTGCTTTCTCCTGCATTGTCCTGCTTTCTCCTTTTTTTTACTTTATTCTGTCACATTATTATGTATTTGCAACGTATTAGCATGTATAAGCACCTAATTTACATACTCGGGACAAGATAAATGGTCCCTTTACCCCTTAGCCCTTTTCCTGACCTTGCTGACCTTTTGGAGCATGCGCAATGGAGGCCTTACAGAATATTACACTACATTATTAGGGGGAAGCGTAGGTTTTTTTTAAAATACTTTAATGTGCAATTTGTTGCATTTAAGATAGCAAAATTTAAACAAATACTAGATTTTATCGTCGTTATTAGAATTTTTTCTAAACTAACTTACAACTGTTTGTAATCTGTGAGAAAAATAAACGAAAATTTCTACCAGAAACCCCTAGTATCAGAAATGGACTAGTCGAGAAATCACATTCCAAACATCAGAGAAGAAGTCCAAGACGCTGTTCCTCGCTTCTGCTTCTGACGGTTCTTCCCGTTTTCTTGGCTTCAAAACGTTGCTTTAAGACGTTTTTGGAGTGATGGGGTTCTTCGACACCCTGGCCCGGTGGCTGGGCATGAAGAAAAAGGAAGTGAACGTGATTTGCGTGGGACTAGACAACAGCGGAAAGACCACGATCATCAACAAACTCAAACCGCAAAACGTAAGGAAATTTTTATTATAAAAACCTGTCATAACGTTTCATTTCTTAGCTTTGGTTTGAGGAAAAAGCATTCGAAATGATTGATTTTGATGGTTCTCAGTGTATACTATAATTCCGATCATTAAATACATATGTTATGGTTACGTTTCTGTGTTTTACAATCGTTGCCAAGAACACTCATCCCCCCCCCCCCCCAAAACAAAATTATTTTTAGGCAAAATATTGTTACAGCAAAATTATACAACTGTTTCTTAGGGTATAATTCCGATGAATACATATGTTATGGTCATATAGACATGTTTCTATGTTTTACAAATCGTTGCCAAGAACTTAATTTTTAAAACCTGTTTCATTTCATTTCTCAGCTTTTGTTTGGGGAAATTCAGTAGAAATGTTTGATTTGATGGTTCTCAGTGTATAATTCCGATCATTATGTATGTTATGGTTATATAGACACGTTTCTGTGTTTTACAATCGTTGCCAAGAACACGCACCCCCCCCCCCAAGCAAAATTAGGCAAAATATTGTTACAGCAAATAACATTTCATTTCTTTGTTTTGTTGTGTCAATATTTGACCTTAACATATTCTATCTCTTTTACAGGNATGTATGTTATGGTTATATAGACACGTTTCTGTGTTTTACAATCGTTGACCAAGAACACCGCACCCCCCCCCCCAAGCAAAATTAGGCAAAATATTGTTACAGCAAATAACATTTCATTTCTTTGTTTTGTTGTGTCAATATTTGACCTTAACATATTCTATCTCTTTTACAGGCCCAACAGAGTGACATTGTTCCGACCATCGGTTTTACTGTGGAAAAATTTGCATCAGCAAGGTACTACAAATATCATGTTATTAGTTCAATCATAGTGTACAATACTGGTAAACTACAGATACAAGGGTAGTCATGGTCAGTCAAAATTCTCACGTCCCATTCCAATGCTTAGCTTATTCCATTATATATTTATGGTTTATTATTTATACATGTAACATTTATTATTTATTTTATTGGATTATTTTTTCTAATGGGTTGTCCCCAGAGTTTGGCCACATGAAATTCTGAAGTGTCTGTCTATACGTTTGTCTTACACATTAAATTGTGACACTTTTCCAGTGGTCATACTTCGAGGTAGGAGGGAAATAAAGGAAGGTCTTTTGAACTTGATATTATAGTTCTGTAGTACAGTAGTCATACAAGGAAAGGTGTTATGAATTCACAACGGAGGGTTGCCGAGAAAATAAAATCATCGCAAAGTTTTCATGATTTACAGTTCATGTATCTCTTTTTAACAGATGTCATTATTAACCTTGTTACCATGGTATGTCATTAACAACCTTGTTATGTGATTATTAACCATGATATGTCAATGTTAACGTTGTTATGTTGTTGTTGTTTCAGCTTGTCGTTTACAGTGTTTGACATGTCAGGGCAGGGCAGATACAGGAATCTGTGGGAGCACTACTACAAGTCAGTACATATGTCCAGACTGTACATGCCTGTAGCCAGGGGGGATTCGGGGGGTTTGGAAGGTCCACTTTTGGTCCACTTTTTATCTAAAGGTCCAAGATTACATGGACTGATTCGTATCACCAGCGGGGCTGTAATCGTAGGAAAACTGCCTACTTTGTCATTGAATAAAAAGTTATCTCTGATTTTTCTATGAAATCCTCTCAAAAACGCAGGATATGCCATTTCAGAAGGTTAATTTTTCAAAATTTTCCGGGGGGGGGGGCATGCCCCCGGACCCCCCTAGGAACTCGCTGGTCCCTCACGCACTGGGAAGAACCCCCCCATTCAAAATCCTGGCTACGGGCATGCTGTAGTCTTCTTTTTGATTGTATATAAGTTAAACTAAAAGCTTCCCTTAGAAAATCTACATACATGTACACATAGAGTGCTGGTAGTAGAAGGATGTAGCTATAGTTCATGTACTGCATTTATTATATATACAAATGTTGGTGCATGTGTGATTTTATTTGCTGCATTGACTGTTACCACCCACGAAGATAGAATAGATAATGGCTATGGTTTCTGAACAGTTTAAGCATGATCCATACTTCCTCTAGCTTCTAGGTAGTGCAGGTAAAATATGTCTGGTGCAGGTAATGTTAAGGTCACACATAGTTATGACTGCAATATTGACACTTTGTCAGTAATTACTGGAATTCACTTTATGTTTAGAGGATGTCATCCATAAAACTAAGTTGGTGTGGCCTTATGAGAAATAAATGCCATCTTTGTCTCCCCCCAGGGACGCCCAGGCCATCATTTTTGTCATTGACAGCAGCGACAAGCTGAGAATGGTGGTGGCCAAGGACGAGCTGGAGCAACTTCTCAACAACCAGGGTAAACAAACAAACAAACAAACAAACATTCCATACAACTTCTCAACAACCAGGGTAAACAAACAAACAAACAAACATTCCATACAACTTCTCAACAACCAGGGTAACAAACAAACATTCCATACAACTTCTCAACAACCAGGGTAAACAAACAAACAAACATTCCATACAACTTCTCAACAACCAGGGTAAACAAACAAACAAACAAACATTCCATACAACTTCTCAACAACCAGGGTAAACAAACAAACAAACATTCCATACAACTTCTCAACAACCAGGGTAAACAAACAAACAAACATTCCATACAACTTCTCAACAACCAGGGTAAACAAACAAACAAACAAACAAACAAAAACATACATTTCCAGTCATGAATGAGCTCTTCAGATATGTCTAAAAAAAATCAAATGAAGAAAACATGATTTGGGTATTATACATATTCCTTGTGTTACACCAAAGACTCAAATCATGTACATGTACCTCAATAAATACACATACATTAAATGTGTTGACAGCCACTGACAGAGTGTGGCAAGTCTATAGTAAATGTATAAATAGTGTAAATGTACACTAAGAGTAAATGTATTTCTAAAAAATCATTAGCATCCTGTACTTAATGCCTTAAACACTAGCACACTGCACTAGTCCCTCTGTATCAAAAGCAGGATTACTAACACTGCATCGCACGTTATGTAATGGGGTGTGTGGCATAGTCATAGCGTGTTCGGCTCAGGCCCAATTGAGGTCCCGGGTTCAAAATCCTGCCCATGTCACCGATCTTGTGCCCTTGGGAAAGGCATTTTATACGACTTTCCTCACTTCACTCGGGTGGCAATGAGTACCTAGCTTCGGTTAGGGACGTCCCTCGGATAGGACGTTAAATGGAGGTCCCGTGTTTAGGAGAGCCACACCCCACGCTCATTAAAGAACCCACCGCACTTGTCGAAAAGAGTAGGGGACCTTCCCGGTGTGAGAGGTTCAAACCTTACAGTCTGGTCTCCGGGTTGATATCTTTGAAGAGGTGATAGTCACCTGTTTTGTCAATCCTTCTACAAATGTGGTAAATCTTCATGAAATAAAAATAATATACACAAACTGATGCACCAGAAGTTTAACTTCACCTTCCAACACTGTTTTCTCCTTAATCCCTCCCAGACATCTTGAGCAAGCGGATCCCGATTCTTTTCTACGCCAACAAGATGGACATGAAGGAGTCCTTATCAGCTGTGAAGGTCAGTCTCAGGTCTTTGAGTTGCTTTCTTGAAAGTAGAGACAGTGATCTCGACCCAGTTTTAACTCACTGAAGAACTATGGTAGTCTTTCTCTAGTCATGATAGATAAGACACACTCACAGTTATATCCAGGATTAGATTATTCTGCTGCTGTTGTCCCTGCCACAGGGGTTGGCAGCAGTCGGCTAGTAGACAGATTCAAGACAGATTGTACAGTATTTACAGGTGCATTGCACTGCAGTAATTCTTATGGTTTTGAATGAACAGTAGAGCACAGCTTAACATCCTGTCCTAAGGACTGTGACCCTTTCCAGTAGCACACATACTACTTCAGCAACAACAGCCAGGATTTGAACATTAACAACTGCTGTGAATGGAGTAGCCTTGAGACCTGAAAGAAGTAAACAAAAATGACTAAGTCTTGTTTCATGTCAAAAACTTGTCTCTTGCTGAAGACTGACAAGCCTCTAATTTGTTTTCCAGGTTTCCCAGATGATGGGACTTGAAGCCATTAAGGACAAACCGTGGCACATATGGTATGTAAGCAGATTTCTCTGCAAATGTGCGAAATATATATAACTTTGTGCTGGATTAAATACAACATATCTCAGTGTAAGAACCCACTGAGTTCATTGAAGGTTTATATGTGAAAATAATTGTGAGGTGCCAGATCACTGCCTTAATATGACAACTCTATGAATTTTATTTTAAAACATTGGCCACCCAGCCAGGTAGCATGGCTGATATCGGGTGCCGAGAGATACACAAATTAAACATACACAATTTACCATACTAATAAGCTAACAAGTACCGCATTAAGCTAAGATCAATCAATTAACAAATTATGAATTTCAACAGACTTAAGTACAAAAAAATAATAAAAGTACTCAAACAACTCTATGAATGTTCCAGGGGTTTGTGAAGCAGTTCTTGTATGTTTTACACGTGTAACTTACATTGAGGCATACATGTTTTGTTGTTTTCAGTGCCATGTAGCTTACATTGAAGCCTCCATGTTTTGTTTTGTTTTGTTGTTTTCAGTGCCATGTAGCTTACATTGAAGCCTCCATGTTTTGTTTTGTTTTGTTGTTTTCAGTGCCATGTAGCTTACATTGAAGCCTCCATGTTTTGTTTTGTTTTGTTGTTTTCAGTGCCATGTAGCTTACATTGAAGCCTACATGTTTTGTTTTGTTTTGTTATTTTCAGTGCCATGTAGCTTACATTGAAGCCTCCATGTTTTGTTGTGTTTTGTTGTTTTCAGTGCCAGCAACGCGATAACAGGAGAAGGTCTTCCTGAAGGGGTAGAGTGGGTCACAGGTCAGTCTATATTTCTATTCATAAATTATTTTTTATATTATTAGTGCAAAATAAACCAAGCAACTGGATATAGTCTACCGTATATTCACTGAGTGTTGCATGCAAAGAGTTAGATGTTCCAGATAGCAGCTGGAAAAATTGTCTGAAGTGACTGATGAAATATTTGATGGAAGATATCTGAAACATCTAACTCTTTAGAGAATTTATCCAGTCATGTTTTATGTTGGTTAAGTACTCTTTACTGATTAAATATTATCGGCTTAGTAACTTTGAAGTTAGAAGGGACGAGAGTTTGATACATGTAATATTCTCTTTATGTATGTGCATATCAAACCATTTAACCATCCTACCTGAAGACATATTGACCATGCTTTATTTTTCCTTACAGATCAAATCCGATCTATGAAGAAATAGCATCTCAGTTAGGAGGCAAGAGGGGAGAATGAAGGTTGAATGTGTCAAATTGCAATACATGTAAAATACTTGTACTGAAATAATTACACAATGTAATAATATGTCTGTAGCTTCACCACATTTTTAGGATGTGACACTGTATATTGTAGCAGACTGTGCTTATTTTGTAAACAGAATAGTTCTTTGAATAGCTAAGTTCTTTGATCACAACCATTTATTTTTCACGAGCCGACGTTTCGATGACCGTCTGTCATCTTCATCAGGGCAATTCTGGCTGGTTTACTGTGCACTGATGCTAGATGTTACTTGGTGCATAGTACACTGAAAGTGTTACATGGCGAGTTGGCTCATAAAAAAATCAATGGTTGTGATCAAAGAGCTTTGGTATTCATTCGTTTACCAACCTGATGAAATTATTTACAAAGAATAGTGCTTTGTTAGGAAGTGTGTTTTTAAAAGTTACAGTTTATTTCAGGCAAAGTTACACAGTCATTTCAGTTAGAGTCCCAAATTAACCGTAATAATAATAGATTATATTGTTGTCATCTAAGCTATCATTAATATTGTAAATCTTCAGGAAAATGATAATTGATAGTAAGTTAGATTTAGCTATAGCATATTTGAAGTGAATACATCAAGAGTTTTTGAAAATTCATAGATCAATTTGAATATGTAAATTCCATGTCAACTTTGAGGTTATGTATTTTAGAATTACAAAAATATATGTATATTTGCAGATATATTAAAAGCTTTATGTTTAATGTGGACCAACGAAGGAAGACTTAGTATAGATACATTTGTAAGTCTTGGAATTTGAACTTAAAATTTACTCTAAGATTCTGATACTCTTTTTCTAAACATTCCGTTTATCCCAGTCTTCTCAGTAAACTACATGTATTCCAATTTTTTTTTTTACAAAAATAGCAGGAAAAGAACTTGCTTGCCAACGTTGTATTGTTGAAAGTTAATTATTTTTCATTATCCAGACTTCTGTATTGTACATTGCAGAAAAGTTACCCTGCCTTAGAGATTAATGGATGGTTACTTATAGTCGCTTCTAAATCAGGGTAGTTTCAATTCAATTTGTTGGTTCTCGGATTTTTTTCAGAAACAAAATGAAGCGACAGGGCGAAAAAATGAAATTTAAAAACAGGTCAAGGCATCCTATTATAGCCCCAAATGCTATGATAGGAACCGTGAAGTCAACACAAAAGGCTGGGTTAATTTTGAAACAATGAATTTTGAAACTATAAAGGAACTATGAAGAAAAGGACTTTCCTCAACTATTGGGGGGGAAAATATTTTTTTAGTTGATTCAGAACCAGGATCTTTTTTTTTGAAGAGGCAAATCCGAGAACCAACAATTAAATTGGCGTGGCCTTAGCTGTGATAATTTGTAAAGATGTGAGATATACATTTTATACATTTGATTTTGTTTCCTGAAATATGTACAATGTGTACTTGTGGTTGGTAGTTGATTGTTGTTTCTGCAGATCACTATTTGGATATTTTCAAAATTCTTTGAGGATGGGACCATTTTTTTTCACTGAAAGGCAATATCTACTACTCTCCGAGCAGAGGTTTGGGTTTGGGGTTATTTTTGGCGTGTTTTTAGGCTTTTTTATCGGAGTTTCTCTTTTGCACTGGAATTTTTTTTTTCACCCAACCCAAAAATATTCCAGTGGCAATGAGAAAACCCGATAAAAAAAAACTAAAAACATGCCAAAAATAACCCCAAACATCTGCTTGGAGAGTAAATATGTACATCGTAATGAAGGGTTGCTTTCGTTTAGAAAGGATGTAAGACATGCCCTCAATGCACTTCTCAATTGTAGGAATTAAACACTGGTACATTTTTAGAGTAAAAACTTTGGGTCCAACACAAAAAGGTTCTCTCACCTAGAGCTTTTGACCAGTCACTCTGGTCTTCCTCAGTAGACTGACCCAGTGAAGCTTGTCACGTGGCTTCTTTGAAAAGAACCTGTAACTACCAACACAGATGAACTTTCATGATACTGTGGTACATTTGTGATACTTTCTGTACATGACTCCAGCACTGCAGTTCTAGCCTATTCTCATAGGGGGCGCTATGATCATATGTTGGCCTCCTCTAGTCCCAACCAGCTATCAAAAGCAACGAATGTTACTCCAACAGTGAATAGAATAGTATTTGTAAAGACCATTTTGTATATTGACTTGCTGGGCCAGTTTTATTCTTAGTTTAAAAAATACAATCTCAGTTAAAAGTCAGGACCATGAATTTCAAACATACTTTTTTTCTTGGCTTTAATTCCAGGCATCTAAAGGTAGTTTGGTGTCTCATCCCAAGACTAGTAGAATGTGGTCACTCCAGTTCTTTGTATTTTGCTGTAGTTTTATGTTTGTGTAAATAAAGAGATTTATTTCTGCTGACCGTTTTTTTTTGTCTTCTATTGATATCTTAATAAATGTCTTAATTATCAAATATATTTATAGTGTCTGTACAATGTGCTGTACAAGACATGACTCTAAATGCCATTGTTGGTGTTCCTATTGGCGTTCTTGAATATCAAAACTATCTTGCAGTTTCATAATGACAAATGCGCCAAACATGATATTTCTGAATTTTTTCCTAAAGTCAAATCTTATGATCAGTTTTTTGTTTTTTTTTTTTCATGCAAGATACGATTCCTAAATCAAAGTAATGCCATTTCAAAGCAGTGGCTGCTCCATATACATCTTTAAAAAATTTCGCGCCCTTTTCTTAGTCACCTGACATTCCCGGAGACACGAGTTCTGAGAAAGTTTCCAAGAAGCGCCGCCATTGGCCAGACCGTCAGGCAACTTTCCACCAATCAGATCGCGCCGTCACTTTCACCAACATGGCGGCCATTCCTGGAAAAAGATTCGAACTGCTGGGAACGGAATGAGAAGAAAATGACCGCAAGTTGGTGAAATTTGCGCCCGAATGCCTACACAGGAGGTAAGGCAACCATGGGAGACAATGTTGTTGATGTGTGCACGATGAAAGCTGGAGAAAATGCGACCGGGACTCGGCTAACTTGTTCGGTTGGTGGCACACATAGCATTATAGAGGCTTCGGGAGGCGGCAGGAAGGAGTAGAGATAACATGCCGAGGGAGTTGTTCTGCTAGAAAATGTACGCTGAGTCTGAAGGCACTAGCGGACCAACTCCCTCGACAATTTCTAGTCTTTCTAGCCGCCTCCCGAAGCCTGGTAGAGGCTTATTTGGGGCAGGCTCTTGCCATGGCCGTGCAGAAGGGAGCTTAATGGTAAAAATCAGTTAAAATATTGGTTGAAAACTTGTTTTCAGGGTGGAATCTAGCAGGTTCTGGATTAATTAAGAATGTAAACTTAGCTGTATACCTGTACCTGGTGCAGATTTCACTCCACCAGACCTTAGGCATGCAAACCAAATCACCCCGTCTTCTCAAGTTCATGTCTGTATTCAGGTGCAGCCAGGTGTGCATGATCCATCATCCCCACCTCTTTACCTGTCCACATACCTGCACAGGTGAGACCATTGTTCCATAGTTAACTGGTGACAGAGTGGACCAATGGAGTTTTTAAAATCTACAAGCAGATGTTGGGTGTCTGTCTGGGTTCTATAATGTACTTTTGTAATGTTTTCTTTATCTTTACTTTAGACTAATATAAATTATAGGTTTTGCTAACCCTAACCCTTAGATAAATATATAATACATGTACAATCAGACCTGTACTAGTGACCACCTGTATGTAAGGACCACCTGGCCAATATGCGACCACTTTTCGAGGGTCCCTTAAACAGATAATTCTCCCCATTGACACAATACAAGTGACCACTTGTCCACATCATCATCATCATCATGTCGGGAGTTGTAGTTCCCGGTCCCAAACCCTCTCTCGCCAGTCCACTTTGTCCGTCATGGCGCTCGCCAGGTACTCCTTTGGAAGACCCACATCAGCAGCCAGCAGGTCTATGTACGTCATACGAGGACGCCCAGGTTTAGAATGCCCTTGTTTGGGCTCCCACAGGATCAGTTCACTAGCTAGCTCAGCCTTATTGTCCACATAGACCAGATTTTATTGGCCTTCAGAATGGTTACATACATATACTAGTAGTAGGACATACAGAATGGTACAAAAAGATGTGCATATTAACTAGTTGTAAGCATCATCTGGTTGGAAAATAGATGACAATAGAAACATGGAGAACTAATACTAACAACCGAGACCTAATCTCGAGGTATGCCACGGATCGCTGAACACGATTGGCAGATGCAATGACCCCATTGGTCAGCCTTGTCAGCTGACTTATTTGATTGACAGGTGCAGGAAGCTGGGTAGCCAGGTCATGAACTCTGGAAGTTTTGTGTTATTAGTTTGGAATTAAGGTGAGGTGGCCTATGTAAACACACGCACCTGTACGGTTTATATAGATTTCTATGTGTGTCGTATATTGGTATATTAAATGGAGGGAGAGTCAAGGTAAGTATGAAGTTTAGCCTGTTTTTGGGTACATGTGTGCAATGACAAAATATGCCTGATTTTTCGTATATTTATTTAAGATTCTGATATTTCTTTTTGAGAGTGGACAAAGGACATACTATAAGCACACATCTGTAGGATGTATGTAGGGTTTTGCTGTGTCTACGTTAATTCTATATTGGTAGGTTAGATTGAGGGAGAGTCAAGGTAAGTATGAAGTTTAGCCTGTTTTTGGGTACACGTGTGCAATCAAAAATATTCCTGATTTTTTGTATTTGTTTAAGATTCTGATTTTAAGAGTGAACAAAGGACATACTATAAGCACACATCTGTAGGATGTATGTAGGGTTTTACTGTGTATATGTCAATCTATGATGGTAGGTTAGATGGAGGGAGAGTTAAGGTAAGTATGAAGTTCAGCCTGTTTTTTGTTATATGTGTGCAAGAACAAAATATTCCTGATTTTTTGTATATTTGTTTAAGATTCTGATATTTCTTTAAGTGGACAAAGGACATATGACACATGTATAAACACATGCACCTGTTTTGTCTATTGTACATTTACTGAAGTTGCATCTGAACTAGATGTCATTTTGTACATGTACAAAATATAACGTTACACTGTGCAAAATACATGAAGTATACATGGGTAGGACTTGTCACACAATATGAGAAATCTGCTTTGCGTAGTAGAATGCATCATTACTGTAGCTAGTAGATATTAGCTATACTTGAACATATAGAATTCAGCTCTCAACTATTAACCACATATGGTATAACTATGAGTTTTGAGGAAGGCAAATGACTTGGCCTTTCTGTGACCTGATGTGACTATAATGAACTGTCAAAACGTGACAAATATTTGTGCACACAGTTTTCCTGACTTTAGGCCACACCAATCTAATTTGTTGGTTCTTGGTTTCGCCTCTTCGTTTTTTTCTGATTTGCAAAAAAAATAAAGATGTTGGTCCTGAATCAACTAAAAAATGCTCATATTTTGCCCTTAACAGTTGAGGAAAGTCCTTTTCTTCCTAGTTGTTACAGTTTTCCCATCTATCAATGCAGTGGTTTGATTAAAAGTTCAAAATTCATTGTTTAAGTATTAACCCAGCCTGGTGTGTTGACTTCATGGCTCCTATGGTACCATTTTGGGCCATAATAGGATGCCTAGGCCTGTTTTTTTTTTTCACCCGCCCGCTCCATTATTTTTCTAGAAAAATCCATTAACCAAGATATTAAATTGGTATGGCCTTAGTGTGGGAAACATTAAAACTTTTTTGACCTGGTCAGAAGAACAGGCCGTTTGTCAATTATGAACTCCTGGGAGAAATATCAGTGATGATATTTTCATGTGCAGAAATTGTGTTGTGAAACATATGATGAAAATAACAGGTGGCAGCTTCATTTTCAATCTGTGTTTTAAAGTAAGAAAAATTTGAATGCTTCCAAAGCTGCTCTTCAAAAGTTTTCTTCTGGTCAGAATCTGTAAACATTTCGCATCATAACTTTTGAGTGTTTAGACCATTTGTTCAGTGCACTAAACCTATAAAATACACCCCTCCTAAGTGTCCAATTGCTGCATGCAATTTTACATCAAAATTGACCAATTGTTATACATATAGAAATTTGAAGCAGCTTTTCAAAAAGGCTTCCTGATTAAAAGAACATCTTAGAAGAAGAACTTTATTGCATGACAGTTGTACATGGTACAATGTATGGCAACGTCTCACCACCACATCTACTGTAACCCAAACCCTGCGCAGAAATCTATCATACATAGGTTTTGACAGGGTCCCGTTACTGGCTGTATGTATGGAACACGCCTAAGTACACACAACATGACATCAAGGCCATGTACGTATGATGTAGTGGTGGACTATTAATTACTACAACAACAATAATACAGGGCCATGGACAGCGTCTGTGTTTATGACAAAAAGAACTAAACATTCTTTTTTTCCAACACTGAGTAAATTAGGACTTTCCAACACTTATACATGAATGAATGAATTTATACCAACACAGATGAACTTTCATGCTAAGCGTCTGCGTTTGTTTCACATAACTACTAAACCACACCAGTTTTGTAAGCACAAGCTGCGTAAGACCAGACTGTAAGGTTTGATCCACTCACACTGGGAAGGTCCTCCACTCTTTTTGTTAAGCGTGGTGGGATGTGCACGAGGTATGGCTTTCCTCACATATATATTTTTAAGTCCGTCCAAGTTCAAAACTTTAAAAATCAGAAATAAGAAGTTTCATAAAAGCAGTATGTCTCCTAGCCTGTTACAGTCAAACCTGCACCATTTTTCTTCAAGCCAGTCACCTGCCCATAAGAAGCACATTTTCCCAGTGCCAAATTTTATTCCAAGCATTAAGTGACCTGCCTAAGAAGTCCACCTGTTCAAGAGAAGACCTGAGTTCATTGTGGTCCCCTGGGTGGCCCTCTTGAGCAGGTGCTAAAAGTTTTCTATAAATGTTTTGCATCTAAAATGTTGAAGAGTTTAGGAGAACTTTGCTCTTTAATGTCACAAGCATCCCCTTTCTTTATCCAGGGCATCCTCGAATCTCACTTTTATTCACCTCAACAGAGAAGCAAGAAGACGTCAATAAGTAAAATACTATAAAAGAAACTATCACAAGCGTTTCTCCATTTAACGTTTCAGAAGGGAAGATTTTTCTCCAACCAGCACCAAATCGGGTGCATACAAAGTCATTTGTACTTTGTACTCCTATTGCATTATGTACTAGTATTATGTTTGTTACAAAAGTAACTACCTAATAGTATATACATGTAGTCTATGGAGATTTATGTAGTCTATAAGTTGAAATGCTGTATTATGATTGTACAACAGGCTATTAAAGTGAATACTGTAATTAAGCTGTATACATGTACCTTACGTCCTAACCCCCTAGCCTCCCTGTACAATGGATCACTCTCATCTGTGATCCCAGGACTATCCCTTACATGACTGTAGGAAGGCACTTAGAGGCACAATGGGCAGCAATGGAAGTCTTTAATACCAAAACAAACAGCTCGATGGGATCGGTGTGGGTTTCATGACGAATCTGATTTCCATTACCCCATCAGGAGCCTTCAATGGACTGTTGAGTTAATCACTGTTGATTGGGGTGGATTGATACTATGTATCAGCGAGGGCCTGCATGGGGGGATTAGCCTCTGTAGCAGGCTTATAGAACTGGGGGTTTGGTGGTCTTCGGCTGTTTTCTGATTAGCCTCCGGAGCAAGCTTATAGAACTGGGGGTTTGGTGGTCTTCGGCTGTTTTCTGATTAGCCTCCGTAGCAGGCTTATAGAACTGGGGGTTTGGTGGCCTTCGGCTGTTTTCTGATTAGCCCAGTCCTAAAAAACGTGGGTAAATTCAACCAGGCCGGCTATGTTGTCTATATGCAATCAGAAAATAGCACATTAAAGACCCTGAAGACCCCCAAAACCCCCAGTTTTTGGCATGCTATGGAGGCTAGGGGGGGTAT